GGGCCCAGGGCCCAGCCCGCTGCGCCTCAGGCACATCTGGGACAGCACCATGGCCCGGGCCCCGCTCCTGCTGCCCCTCGTCCTGCTCTGCTCAGGTGCCGGCCCCGGGGACCCCCACAGACGCCGGGCAGCGGCCTGGGCCTGGACTCTGGCTCAGCGCGGGTGGGCGGGTCTGTGTCCGCTGCAAGGACCCTCAGGCTCACACTGTCCTCTCCTGTCCTGCAGGCGCCCTGGTCACTGCCGAGCTGAGGCAGCCGGCGGCAGTGTCCGAGGCTTTTGGACAGACGGCCACCGTCACCTGCGAGGGAATGTTTGGTGTTGATTCGTGGTATCAGCAGAAGTCGGGCCTGGCCCCTGTGCTGCTGGTTGATGCAGGTGACAACAGGGCCCCGGGGATCCCTGACCAGCTCGGGGAGCACGGGCACCATGGCCATCAGAAGGATCCAGGCCGAGGACGAGGCCAAATACCACTGTATGGCAGCTGACAGCAGTGGTGATCCCACAGTGACACACACTGATGGGGAAGAGACACAAACCCGTCCCTGCCTGGGCCGCCCTGTCCTCAGCCAGGGGATGGACACAGCCACGATCAGTGCTGACCGGGGCCCAGCTCGGCTGCCCCTCTTGCCCCTGCAGACTGCGCAGACGTGGTCCTGAGGGCAAGTGGGGGCCAGGAGCTCTGAGGCGTGTCCCTGACAGTAGTCCTCCGGGTTTGAGGACCAGGTGGACAGAGGAGAGACAGCGCTGGGGACTCCCAGAGGCAGCTCTGGACGGAGGGAGGGTGCCCAGGGCAAGCATGGGTCAGTGTGAGGGAGGCGCAGGCTGGCAGAAGCCTCGCCCCTGGGCATCAGCAGAGGATCTCACCTGAGTCTCTGCACACGGTTGTGGCTCGTGGTCCCGGCTACAGGGGACAGTTCCTGCTCGGGCGTCACTTGACGTCACCTCCGGAGCTTTGTCTGCGCTGGGAAAGGAGAGCAAACTCCGTGCCAGTTTAGAGCTGAAAGTGTCGATCAAAGCCTGTGATGTGTCCAGTCATTTTACAGAGTAGATGTCATGATTTTATAGGCTTATTTATTTATGCAGACAAGAACAGAAATGATAAATTTTGATTATAAAGGGGACTGAGACTGGTTTTCAGCCAAACAACGAGGGGACAGATGGGGCTTTGCAGATACGCAGGGAAGAGCAGGGGGCGAAGAGAAGCCCAGCGAGGGACGAGAAACAGGCTCAGGACACGGACATGTGCTGTGGGAGCACTGAACACCGAGGACCCGGGAACCGCCCCCCGTTTCCCGGCCACCATCTCTGGCACAGCCCGGGTCTGCTCAGGGCACGAGCTCTTCTGTCTGCGGCCGCAGAGTCCACCGGGTGGTGAGACCCCGGCTCTGAGCCGCTTCCGCCGGGGGGTGCGATGGGAACAGGAGCACAGCAGCCTGCGTTGGAGAAATGGGGTGCAGCTCAGGAGAGGGGGAAGCAACTGAGCTTCAGGAGGAGCAGCCGAGTGCCTGGGCCTGGTCGGTGTCCCCGTGGCCCTCTGGCCTCGATGGGCAGCGTCCCCTGGTCTTAGCTGCACCCCTGGTGCACCCACAAGCTCCAGATTCCACAATTTTACAAACACACTAGGCCCCCGCCAACCAGGCGCCCCCACCACAGGGCTAGCAATTGCAGGGGCCGGGTTCAGAAACTGAGGTGCCTTCACCCCGCGCCCCAGACTCTCTCTCTGTGCTCTGCTGGGAGGCCGGGGAAACCCACTGGCACAGGAGGGCTGGACACTGCCCACTCCCCCTGGACAGGGCCTGGGGCCACTGGCAGACAGGGGCCTGGCGACTCCCCACCAGCAGGGGGCAGCAGAGCTGCAGCAGAGGGAGCAGGACAGAGCTGGGCGGCCAAGGGGCCCCAGGGGGAATGGACAGGGCAGCTGCAGGGAGGTCAGCCAGCCACCCCGCCTGGCAGCCAGCACATACCGAGAGACACTCACCCTCGCCCAGACTAGGGCTCTGCCTGGACATGCAGCCAGGGCTGTGCCCAGGGACTGACCCTCTGAGCAGCCCATCAGGGAGCCCCGGCCGCTGACGCCCCTCAGCTGGGCTGCACTGACCATGCCCAGGTCATGAAAGGGTCAGGGCTCCTGGGCCCAGGCCAGGATTGACCTCGGCCTCTCTCAGGAACCCTCTGCACGGCTGTGGGGTCTCACTGCTCTGGTCACTTCTGGTCACGGAGCCCTAGACCAGGCTAAGCCCAGTCCGCATGCAGAGTTTTCTCTGCCCTCAGAGCCCCTGGCAGGACAGGAAGGAAGTGGATTTGCATCGCCCCGAGGATAAGAGGGGCCCAGGGCCCAGCCCGCTGCGCCTCAGGCACATCTGGGACAGCACCATGGCCCGGGCCCCGCTCCTGCTGCCCCTCGTCCTGCTCTGCTCAGGTGCCGGCCCCGGGGACCCCCACAGACGCCGGGCAGCGGCCTGGGCCTGGACTCTGGCTCAGCGCGGGTGGGACAGGGCTGTGTCCGCTGCAAGGACCCTCAGGCCCACACTGTCCTCTCCTGTCCTGCAGGCGCCCTGGTCACTGCTGAGCTGAGGCAGACAGCGGCAGTGTCTGTGGCCCTTGGACAGACGGCCACCGTCACCTGCGAGGGAACGATAGGTGCTGCTCCCTGGTACCAGCAGAAGCTGGGCCGGGCCCCTGTGCTGCTAATTGATATATTAAACAAAAGGGCCCCGGGAATCCCTGAGCGGTTCTCTGGCTCCAGCTCGGGGAACTCGGCCACCCTGACCATCAGCGGGGCCCAGGCCGAGGACAGACTACCACTGTCTGTCACTCAGCAAAAGTGGTGATTTCACAGTGACACACGCTAATGGGGAAGTGAGACACAGACCCCTTCCTCACTGGGCACCCTGTCCTCAGCAAGGGGATGGACACAGCCACGGTCAGTGCTGACCGAGCGCCGGCTCATCTGCCCCTCCTGCCCCTGTTGACTCTCCAGACAAGGTCTGAGGGTAATTGGGGACCAGGAGCTCCAAGGCGTGTCCCTGACCGCAGTCAACCTGCGTTTGAGGACCAGGTGGACAGAGGAGTGACAGCGCTGGGGACTCTCAGTGGCAGCTGTGGACGGAGGGAGGGTGCCCAGGGCACAGATGGGTCAGCGTGAGGGAGGCGCAGGCTGGCAGAGGCCTCGCCCCTGGGCATCAGCAGAGGATCTCACCTGAGTCCACACACGGTCGTGGCTCGTGATCCCGGCTCCAGAGGACAGTTCCTGCTCAGGCGTCACTTGACGTCACCTCCGGAGCTTTGTCTGCGCTGGGAAAGGAGAGCAAACTCCGTGCCAGCTGAGAGTGAGAAAGAGTCGATCGAAGATTGAAATGTGTGAGGTCATTTTAGAGAATAGATATAAGTAATTTTTAAAGATGTATGTATTTCTGCATGTAAAAACTGGGGCACAGGCCAGATGTGGCTGGTTACAGGACTCAGCAGAGACTGAGAGAGGGCCGAATACATAGACTGATGAGGTGCACTGCTGAGGGAAGCAGCAGGGAGACAGGAGAGGTCAGCTGCCCCCTGGGCCACTCCCTGGCCAGGGACCAGCTCCTGCTCTGGGACTGCTGAGGGCGTCACAGTGCTGGGGCCTCACTTGCTGCACCCACAGCAGGGCCCAGTGCAGAGACGCTTACAGACACCTCAGAGGAGCTCAGGTCTCT